CGTGTAATGGTCAGATCTCCTCGAGATACAATATTGACCATGGCACGTGTAAAACATTATTGCTTACTGTTGTTTTGGGTAGATTTTAATTAAGATGTAAGACTTAGTTAGCATTTAAGCATTTTATTATTGTACTCAATTCTATGTAAATGACGTTGCTAATACTTGTTTACCACAAGTATTAGGATATGCTAGCTTGCATTCTTGTACTATAAAACCCCAATGAAACAGCGAGTATGTATTCAATTGCTCTTACTTGTTTTACCCGTGCAAGTACTGTTTATAAAAGTGTTATATTAAATTGAATCAAATCTATCTTGGCAGTTTATTTATTTTACTAAAGTCTAAATCATTTAATTACTATATTTCGTATACTGTTAAGATAGTGTTTGTATTGAACCCTACAGTTCATTACATATTTGGTGTCAGAAGAAGTTAACGGCTTGAATTTTTTTTTTTTGAACGTCAAAAAAAAATATTCGTTAGGAAAAGTCAAGGACTTTTCGAAAGCCGTGCCACACTGTAAGTATCCAGGATCGTCCAGGAGCTTACACTGCCCATCCAAAAAGACCATTTTGAGGTTCTTTTTTTTTCTACCTATCAAACTTCATTCAAGTTCCGGGACACAGCGTTGTCCAGCCGAGCCGCCCAGCCAAGCAGCCTAGCCAAGCAACCAATCCGCCCAGCCAAGCAGCCCAGCCAAGCAGCCCAGCCACACAGCCAAGCTGTCCACCAACAACCAGAGTGTCAAGTCGTGTATACCAGCCACAAAAATCATGTCGAACGCTTTATTATTGTAAGTCATTGGATTTATATAGCTTATGTCCGATAGTGATAGTTGGAAGGTAGTTGAATACGACCCAGACCAGTTGGTGATTAGGTTAAAAAATATACTAGGAACCAAGACCAAAATGGCTAACGATGCTTTACTAACTTTAAATTCAGCCATTAAAATGGTACCACATTTTTCTGGGGGGTCAGAATCAGAATTAACATGTTTTGAATCTAGATGTAAATTTATCATGGATAATATAGACCCGATATATAAATTAAAACTTATTGAGGTTATTAAAACTCAATTATCAGGTAGAGCTTTCGAAGTTATTAGGTACCGTGATGTTAAAACACTTAATGATCTTCTTAAAATATTGCGCGAAAATTTTGGCGCTACTCATTCCATCACATTCTTACAAGCGCAACTCAGTTCATTAAGGCAAGGATATAAAGAAAGCGCGCAAACTTATTTTTCTCGAGTTGAGGAAACATATCAAAAATTAATACAAGCATCTACTATAGATAAAACGAGCATAGAAAGAAACGCGATAGCAGAAACAATAAAATCTCATGCGCTTTCAGTTTTTATAAATGGCATAAATTCAAATTTAAGAATTATTTTAAAAGCGCGTAATCCTACAACTCTGGAAGGAGCCATTTCCATTGCTGTAGAAGAAGAAAAAAGTGTTGAGCCGCGCAATTTTTACAATAACGGCGCAAATAAATATAAAAATAACAATAATAAGTATACAAAAAATTCTAAAGATAATGATAGGGATAAAAAGAATATCCGCTGCTATCGATGCAACCGTGAAGGTCACGTCCAAGGAGAATGTAGGACAAAAGAAGAGAACTTACCAAAATTTACTAACCCAGCGTATAATAGGAGTACAAATATTAAACGGGAAAATAAAGATAACATTAAAACGTGTGCTTATTGTAAGAAGCCTAACCACGAAATTAAATTCTGCAGGAAACGCATTTTTAACGAAAAAAAGAAAAATGATAATTCGAACGATAATGGTGACGAAGACACCTCGGGCTCAAACCGATCAGTACAGGAAATTAAAAATAACGTGCGAGTAGTTACAGAAATAATAGACGAACATATAATATGTAAATCTAATTCTTTTATTAATGCATCAGCTAAATTTTTGATAGATAGTGGCGCGCAAATGAACATTATTAAAATAGACTCGCTAAAAGACGATCTTATCATAAACGAAGATGAAAAACGGCAACTACAGGGAATATCGGCAACGCGCGTAAGCACAATCGGAACAACAATTTTAGACATTCTGATTAATAACAGTACCTTAAAAATAAAGTTCAATGTAGTAGATAACGATTTTAAAATAAGACAAGATGGCATTCTGGGTAATTCATTTTTAAAAAAAAACAAAGCCATTATTGATTTAAATCGCGACTTATTAATTATTCCTACGGGTACAGAAGAACTTAACTCGTCACATTTAATTATTCCACAGCGCTCTAACTGCCTAGTATGTATTAAAGTAGAAAAGCCAATTCAGGCTGATAACATTTACATTGAAAAAATAGAATTAAGCGACGATGTAATTATCGCAAATAGCGTAAGTCCAATCAAAGGGCAACACACGGTAGCAAATATTATAAACATAGGCGAACAACCGGCTTTCGTAGAAAATATTGAAATGAATAATTTAATCTGGGGGCCGTACGATAATAACAAGGTAAATGATAGTACTACACCAGACCAATATGATGACTCAAGTAATATCATGTCTATCAGGGAAAAATTAAGTGGGGCCAGTAGGTTAGAAGCGCTCGCCAAGCTTATTATAACAGATCATCTACTTGATGACGAACGGGAAAAATTACTCGATATCTGTTTTAAATACTCGGAAGTTTTCTTTCTTGAGGGCGATATATTACAAGCAACAGATGTAATTACTCATAGAATCCCCACTCCCAATCTCACGAAACCAATAAACGAATTATTACAGTTATCGGACATAAGAGTTTATTACGCCAATGATAACATTGTTTATCTAATTAATTTACCATTGGTATACCAAACACAGCTAACACTGTTTGCCGTACTAGCAAAACCGGTAAAATTAGACAATAATTTTTCTTATGTATATGTTAAACCAAATTTTAAATATCTAGCTATAAGTAAGACGAATAAGCACTATACGAGCTATTCGGATCTAGATTTGTTAAATTGCGAAGTATCAAAAACCTTCCTGTTTTGCCCTGAAATTCAAACCTTACATCCAACAAATATGAAACCTACATGTGAAGTCCTGTAAGGCATATGGGAAAAATGATATCCTTATTCCTTCCCCAATTTCTAAAGATAACATTTTCACAGATGTTATTCCAAATACTAACATATCTAGCTTAATAAATTCAACATTGTATAAATTTCCAATTACACATGTTACAGAATATGTTAATATCCATAATTTAAACGATATGGCTAATCTCAAAACAGAACTGTTAGTACCTAAACACGAACAGTCATATGGTCTGTTTTTGTCTGTTCTTACTATATTACTAATTATTAATATATTAATTTTTATTGTATTCATTATCATAAAAGTTGTAAATACAAGAGAAACCTTGCGTTCAGTTGAAGGACATACTGGTCGTAATTTCAACATAAACAATGAAACGGTTAATGTAAACAATGAAAATATTAATGTACTTAACGAAAGTATTAGCGTAAATAATATTAACAATGAACCTCCATGTGTTCATACTGAACATTCATTTGTTAATAATGAGCCTCAAAATGTTCGGAACGAACATCTCAACAGCAATGTAGCAATACCATACCATAATTCTAACACGCCTCGTGCTACATTTCATATTCCAAACCGTTTTTACTCGGTTTATCCACGTTTATAAAATATAACCATTATATTTCTTATTATATACATTATATTTCTTATTGTATTCATATTATATTCATATTATATTCATATTATACTCATATTATATTCACATAATCCATATATTATATTCTTATTGGTACGAAAAACATCTGGGTACTTCGTCCACATATGTTTTTCATTTTATCGGGGGGATGTAATGGTCAGATCTCCTCGAGATACAATATTGACCATGGCACGTGTAAAACATTATTGCTTACTGTTGTTTTGGGTAGATTTTAATTAAGATGTAAGACTTAGTTAGCATTTAAGCATTTTATTATTGTACTCAATTCTATGTAAATGACGTTGCTAATACTTGTTTACCACAAGTATTAGGATATGCTAGCTTGCATTCTTGTACTATAAAACCCCAATGAAACAGCGAGTATGTATTCAATTGCTCTTACTTGTTTTACCCGTGCAAGTACTGTTTATAAAAGTGTTATATTAAATTGAATCAAATCTATCTTGGCAGTTTATTTATTTTACTAAAGTCTAAATCATTTAATTACTATATTTCGTATACTGTTAAGATAGTGTTTGTATTGAACCCTACAGTTCATTACA